AACCAAAACAAGCAGGCCAACTCTTACGGGCATTCTTTTTTTAATAATTAACCTGTTTGTAAATTATAATGTTTCGTGATAATTTTCATCTTACATAGCTGAATGCTTTAATATAAATCTTCGGTTATTTCCAAAATGATCGGTTCTTTAAAAATATTGTATTAATGTTGAATACTAGCTAAAACCATAAATTAGTACGAATTTTCGATCAGAGAAATTTCAACTGTCCGAAATTGCTTCACTCATTTTCGTAAATCACCAATGCGCCTTTTTTCCCTACACGATTTAAAATCAAAACTAGAGATATGACTGCTATATGAAGTTTCTCAGAGGTTAAAATTAAAATTATTATCTGTGATAAAAAACCTTTTTTTATCAAGATAATAGTTTTTTTCGCACGGATCTTGATCGATACACAATTTTTCCTTTAAAATTTTTGATTTTCATCATCCATGAAAATGTGTTTTGATAAATCTTTGAAAAATTCAAAATCAATTGGGGAACAATTTATGAAAAAACCATACGTCTTTTAGTTTATTGAATTTATATCACAGAGACTGTTCAAGGCATACGCATAACAGATAAGAGAATAATGATAAACATAAATTGGAGGAAAAAATAAATTAAATGATATTTCAGATTGAATTACTTCTCAGAGTAGGTCCATCGGTCGAATACAAGTCGATGCTTATTGATCAGCCAACCTTCTATTCTTAGTTCCTCAATAAATTCGTCAAGTTCAGCTGGTCGGGGAAGTCTGGAATAGATTTATATAAAAAGCATCGGAATCATCTCTTTACAAAAGAATGAACAATCATGGAGAATATTAAAAAAAAAAACGCTTCTATTAAAACTGTTATGATACTAGAAAAAAGTATTTAAGTAATACTAGAAATAAAAAGCGTTTCATTCAGCAATATCCTCTTCCAAGATCAATTATCTGCCTATCGCAAATGCAGGGAAGAAATGAGTATACCAAGACTTTTCTTTTACAACTATCAAAAAAGATTCACTGAAAGCAATGAATGGGCTAAAAAAAATAAAGCAAACTCACGCTCTCATATTCAATATTAACTCCAAACAGAGCGCGGCCCGAAGTTGATCAGATGTATCGGATACACTAGCCATTGATACATAACCATAGTTATTCTTCAAATCACAGATAACAGTAAATTTTGAGCATATAAATGAAAGTTCATTCGACGAAATTAATATATCCGATAAACGACATCCATAATAACGCCGCCATGAATCCCAGTGTAGTATCGGTTCTTTGTTGTTCACTTCACTGACAGTACCAGTTTTTCTCGCCTCTATATAATTCCTGAAGAGAAAAATAAACTTAGAAGGACTAAAAAATATGTTCGGGACCTTAAGCAACGACTCACTAAAAACATTTCATAAAAGCTAACCAATTAACACTTCTGGGACAAAAAATGATATGAATAATTAGTAGCATATTAATTCATTTTGACAATCTAACTCATAATATTCTGATTTAAATTTTTGGTGATCGTAACTTACCTATCAGATGACTATCCAAAAATTATACTCCATGATCGCATAGCGCAACATACCGCAAAGTGAAGCATAGTACGTCACACAGTCAAGATTTTTTTCGTTTTTTAAAGACATACTTTACAATAATTCGAAGCAATGATTGGTTCAGCGTCTTGAATTGCAGTGATTTAACTGCACGATAATTGCCATATAAATGAATGAATGTAAAAAGGCAGAATAGCAACCAAATGCAAAGGACATTTCCACTAACGACAGGAAGCAACAATAGGCTACAAAGAAGGGCGAAAACATTGATCAGTGTTTCTTGCGAACCGTCTTTCGCCGCAACGTCTCCTACATTATCCGATATGGCCTGTAAGAATCACGATAAAGTCACATAATTCGCAAAGAGAACTTATTATTTTTGTTATAATTAACAATCAAATGTTCCACACAACCGATTAATTTGGCGATTATGTTAATTCTGATGACAAAAAACCAAATCCCGCTGTCTTCTGGGCTTATTTAAAGCTTGCACTAAATTATTTTCCTTCTACAAAACCAATTAGCATACCACTTCATTATCTTGATAAAATATGAATTGGGCTTTCGAATCAGATAAATAAGCGCATACATACCTGATGATTTATAACTGTGGTGCGCGTAGCACCACCTGCTACGCCAACAATAGCACGTACCACAGATGATAAGCATATGATAGGCATAAAAAAGTCCGGAAAAATTGGTGTAGTTAAATCCAAGCAAAATGCTAAATCGTTAAAACAATCAGCAATTAATCGCCATTGCTTACAATCAGCATCTAAACACGGACTATAAAGCCATGCAAACAATATTCGTGCAAGCATTCCAATACCATCTTTTAGCAACCATGCAATTGCTGCTGCTATCGTTGATGCAGTCTGCAATAATTTTAATATTCACATATACCCATTACTTAATAACAACATTTCGTCATCTATACTAGTTCCTTCATATGCTTGCTAAAATTTCATCAATATCAATCGACGTTTAATTCATCACCGTGCCGCTACGTAACTTACTTTCATTAATTCTTTAACCAGAAGACTACATCATTTCCTGACTCAAATTGAATTCAAAATACTAACATTGGGTAAAACACTTCCAAGACTTTCTTCCCAAAAAAAGTGATTTTTGTATAGTATATGTCTGCCATTAGAATACTTTTATGCAGCAAAAAATCTCGATATTACAAATCTTTGCAACAATTACCAAAGGATAATCTAATAATCACCTCATTTCCAACGCCTACACCGCGCAAAACTGCTTCTGTAGCCAAAGTTGAATTCATAGAACTAGCAAAAGCTTGAATAGTATCCCATATTTGATAGTTCAAATAGTCGGCAGAAACACTTTGCGGATAGCCTCGAGGCATAAATATATCTCGAAAAAGTGATTTCCAATATGCAGCGTATCGCAATCCCGTAAAAGTATTGTATTTCAAATTAGTAATACACGTATCGGCCGTACATGAATTGAACATTTCTCCATCGTAATATTCCGTATATTTTGGCATATGTTACGCAATTATTATTTCCAACATGTAAGAAATTAATCAGATTAAAGGAATTACGATCAATAAATAGTTTACTGCGTAACAGTTTGATGATAAACATCATTTCGAATGGTCAACATGTGATATGATGCCATAAATAATTAAGCCACAAGCATGTAATAATTTGCTGCCCGAGAAAACCCTGCCTACCCCACCACCTCCACTTCTAACCACCCCACACCGGCATCCTTCCCCATCATAACTTCGGATCACTTTGTTCTAAATTAACGCGGTCCATGAAAACCATTGCACTGTACAAGTTTGCGAAGCCATCCATATTATTGGCATTTCAGGCATCGCAAAGAAGCATTTCGTTGGCCCATATTGTTATCATTTCAGGCATTATAAAGGAATAGTCTCCTTGGCCACATATTATTATCATTCCAGGTATT